ACTTATATATCATATTAAGTTTATAAAACCTAAGAGAGGGAAAAAGTAAAACCTCCCTAAGAAATAAGGGTCAGAACTGATTTTTATCTGGACCCTACAAATACTCAATTTCTTTTTTTTTTTTTTTTTAACATTTATTTGTTTATTTTGAGAGAGAGAGTGGCAGTGAGCAGGAGAGGGGCAGAGAGAGAGAGATTCCCAAGCAGGCTCCGCACTGTCAGCAGAGGCTCGAACTCAAGAACCATGAGATCATGAACCTGAGTCCAAACCAAGGGTCAGATGCTTAACCAACTGAGTCACCCAGGTGCCCCACAAACATTCAATTTCTTAGTTGAGTCCTTCCAGTTTGAAAGAGGATATTGGTGCCAAGTACTCTCAGGCCAGTTCAAGGCATTCTTTTTACTCCCCTGGCGGCCACTAGACCCTGTGCCTTGGACGCTAGTCTGGGTCAGCCAAACATTCAGGCTGTGGAAGGACCAATGCAGACAAAACACATTATCTTCCGTCAGATCCTAGAGAAAGCTGCTAGAATGTGGTGCCAGCTACAGGTGACAAGCACCTCCACAGAAGCTACACAGGGATGGACAAACTGTGGGCAGAGGGAGAGAGAGAGAGAGTTATGCATGAGAGAGCCTCCAGGGCTTCAACACTAAGAATTTTTCATGGGCCCAAAGCCATAAAAGACTAAAGTTTCCATGTGGTTCTGATTTAGAAGCTCTCACGCAGGGGTGACAGCAACTGGGATTCATATGCTAGATTCATAACCATGGATCAGCGGCCCAGTGAGATGCCCTGCGCTGTTACTCCTGATTAGAAAAATTGCCTCAACTCCCCATCTGCCAGGGGACTGTAGACTAAGGCAAGTCAAGTTTTCTCCGGGAAACACACAATCAGACACTGGGTGTCTAAACCACCCTGGATTTTAGTGCTCGCTTCGGCAGCACATATACTAAACCACCCTGGATTTTAAACAGCACTGGATTGCATTGCTTGTCTAGAAGCCACTTAGATTTTCACTGTTGGTAGATCTCATCAGTGCTGAAGAGGAAAGAGAGGTGAATCTGTCAGCCACCTGAGAACAAGACAGACTAGCAATGCTCACACTAGAAAAACTTCGGTGGATGTTAGAAGCTGGAAGTGATGAGGGTTTGACTTTAGAATTTGATGACATATCCCTGGCAGGTGTGGGTTCTGAGCATGAAATAGGCATGTTCCCCAGTCAAGGTCAGGCACTCTTACAAGCACTATCTATAGAAATTCTGACCAGGGTGTCTGCCCCATGACCAGACCTAGATGCTCAAGAGGAGGGTAAGACTCTTAGTACAAAGACATCTCCCTATGTCACGAGGTTTCAATATGTGCTGGAGAAACAGCTCCCTCTTCCTGGCTGTTAACAGAAGCCCTCTACCTTTTAGTGTGAAGTAGGTTTATTTTCCCTTTCACCAAGTTTCTCTCTTTCTAATGTATCTTTCATATTGCTGCCGAAGGGATCTTTCTAAAATATATGTTTAATTGTATATTCTTCTCTCAAGCCTTTTTTTTTTTTTTAATGTTTATTTTCGAGAGAGACAGAGAGCGAGTGTCAGAGGGGCAGAGATAGAGGGAGACAGAGGACCCGAAGCAGGCTCTGTGCTGACAGCAGCAGATGCGGGGCTCAAACCCACAAACCATGAGATCATGACCTGAGCCGAAGTCGGACGCTTAACCAACTGAGTAACCCAGGCTCCCCTCTTGTCTCACGCCTTTCAATGGCTTCTTAAATTTCTCACTCAACTAAACCTACACTATCCTTTGTGATCTGGCGCTCCTGTCTTCTTCTCTAGCTTCCTTTCCAATTCTCTTTCAGCTCTATTGAAACACGTGTAATTCTCTGAACAGAACATGCAGAATTGGGGCCTCCATACCTTTGTGCATGCTGTTCTCTTTTTCTAGAATAACTTTCTCTTTCTTAATGCAAAAATCAGCTGAAGCATCCCTCTTCACTCTCCAGGTTGGTCAGTGCTCTACGCCTCCAATGCTCTAAGCTCCCCCCCCCCTTAGCACTGGTCACATGTGGCCCTACTTCTGTCTCCTAGAGTCCTTAGAGTCCTTGGGAGAGTATCAATCATTCGTCTTCGTGTCTCCAGTGCTCAGGATGGTGCCTGTCACGTAGTAGGCACTACAAATGTCTCATAGCAATTTTGTCCGAGGAATGGAGATGAAAGAAAGGAGCTGCATGTGCGGAGTTGTCTTCCTGTGGGAGAAGGAAGGTAGGAAGGCATCAAAATACTTTGCAACAACTTAAAGTTGTGGTGAGGGCTGAGCTCTAATTCAGCAATGGACAGACGGTCACAGTCCTCTGCCCCGTTGGCCTTTAGGTCCCCTAGGTCAGCTGTTCACACCACTCAAAGTCACCTCCTCGTTGCCCAGTCTCCCGTTGTATTTGGCCCTTTTGGATGAGGGCTTTGGATTTGACCTGTTTGGAGCTGCTTTCTAAACACTGGAACCTTGTCACTTCTTCTCCAACTTTTCTGTACCTCCCACCCCGCCCCCTTCTACACCTGTTCGTTTCTCTGTGATCAAGTTTTAAAATGCATCAGTAAAATATCCCCCAACCAGAGCTGATCCTTCTGCTAATACAAAGTGGCAGCGTTTAAATAGGGTAGCCTTCAATTGTCACTTTCAATCACAGGCTCTGCTGAGGGGGACTTAGAAAGACTTAATCGTCTTAAGAAAACAAACAGAAGCCCTGTGCCATGGAACAGCATGCCGGCCGATAGACAGATAGGAGACAGGACAGACACTGGCAGGCCCAAGATCCTTCCTGGGATCCACCAGGGTTGCTCCAGCAGGCACAGACCAGGTCCCTGCGAGTGAAACTGACAACTCGACATGTCCCTTATCCTTTCCAATTAGCATCCGGCTCCCGTTCTTTCCCTCTTGCTGTCTGCCTCCCTCTGTGCATCTGGCCCTTATAAAGAAACAAGGTCTGTGCTGTTATTCCCCACCCAACCCTCCCTCTTCATCTGAGCTGACCCCAGATCATTAAAACTTAGAATGTGATAGCTGAAAATAGACTAGTCCATGAGAAATCCGGTCCAGCATCCTCATTGTACAGGTGTTAGGAAGCTCAGCCAGCGACAGCCATGCGTAAATGGTCACATAGGCTAGAGTGAACCCAGATATCCTTCCAGTTCCTAGCCCAGTTCTCCTCTGCTACAGTAGTACTTCTCAATGGGCTACACATTCAATCACCTGGGGATCTTCAAACAAACAGAACTTTGCCAATATCCCTACAGAATTCTCATTTCATTGGACTTTGGGGGATGCAGGCATCAGTATATTTTAGGAACTCCCTATATGATGGTCATGTGGCGCTAGAGTTCAGGATCACTGTATTGCATGCTACTTCTCAGCCTCTTTCCCAGCTTCTGTTCAAATTCATTGAGTCTATGTTTGGGGTGGGGTTGGGAAGGGTAATGAGGAAGAGGAAGGCTGGGTTGCTGTGTATTGGGAGGCAGAAAAGAACTCAGGTAAGAACCTCCGTGGGCCAGGCCAGAGACCCCCCAGCTGGTGATTGCTTAATACCTTCTGAAGGAGGGATTTTCCCTTTTGTTCAAACCCATGCTGTCAATCGTTTTTACTAACTACGGGGCCAGGTACTAAGCGTCATTAGTTTGTATGGGTTGTGTTTTTTTTTTTTTTTAATTTTTTTTTCAACGTTTATTTATTTTGGGGACAGAGAGAGACAGAGCATGAACGGGGGAGGGGCAGAGAGAGAGAGGGAGACACAGAATCGGAAACAGGCTCCAGGCTCTGAGCCATCAGCCCAGAGCCCGACGCGGGGCTCGAACTCCCGGACCGCGAGATCGTGACCTGGCTGAAGTCGGACGCTTAACCGACTGCGCCACCCAGGCGCCCCATGTATGGGTTGTGTTTTAAAAATAGACAAAGGGGACTGGCTCTTGATTTCTGGGAAAACAGATAACAGAAAAACATATGCAAAAAACTTAAAGCCTCTACAAAGAAACACGCCTCCAGAACCTTGCATACACACAGCCCGCTCCGGACTATGAACACAGTCATTCCAGCGGCCTTAAGTTATTGGTCTCTTAGAGCAAGGGTGTCCTGCTCACAATAGGCACTCCATAAATATTTGATGTGTGGACTGAAACACTGAGTCTGAAGGTGAGGAAGGCACCAGAGATCAAAATGGCCCCAGAGGACAAGGAAGTAATGAATAAGCCATCTGCAAGGTCACTCTGGAGGGCAGCTGGGCATGTGTCCTAAAGCTGACTTCCCACACCTGGTTGATGACAAGAGTCAACTGAGGATTGAAAAAATACAGATTTTTGGTCTCGCCTAGACCTACAGAATCAGTCTCCAAGAGTGGTGCCTAGGAATCTACATTATTTTATAAGCACCCTGGACAATTCTGATGACCAGTCAGGTTTGGTCATTTCTGCTTGAGGGAACCTTAAACCTGAACTTGACTCACCACGTGGTGAAGCAATTTAAAGTTCTACTTGGGATCACCCTGACTTAACTGATTTCAGTCATGACGTCACAACTTGCTAGCTATCCCCTTTGAGTAAGTCAGTCACCCCACCTCTCTGAGCCTGCCCCGTCGTTTGTAACATCCACAAAGGACAGCAGTCTTGTGGGTAAAACGTTTAGCGAGATCCCAGGCAAAAAGCAGCGAGCCCTCAATAACCGGAAGCTGTTAGCATTTCAGCATCCTTTCTATGCTAAAGAAGAGAGAGGAGCAGCCAAGTGTCAGAGGCCTCACATCTACGGAGTGGCAGGCTGGCTGCTTCCCTCTCCAGCCCTGGTCAGTTCAGGCTGAATAACTGGGTGCTGGGAAAGGAAGTGAGGACTTCCATTTTATGCCACGTTGCCCAGTGTCTGAGGGGCGAGGTAAATGTTTGTGTTCTTAGAACTCACTGGTCACTATTCCTATGTCCTTCATTGTGTGGCTAGGATCTCTTTGGGTTCCAGTATTCTCTTTGCGAAATGGGGATGATAACATCCAAAGTCCCGCCAGCCTCACTGAGAGCCTGGGAAGATCAAAACACACTGAATCACAGTCTACCCCGTTCGAGCTGGTAGTTAGCGTGTGTTTGCGACGATCAGGCGCCACGCTAAGCGGCTTAAGTGCGCTATCTCGTCTGACCATCATAAGGGCATTAGAGGTAAGTTTTATCTTATACCCACTTTGCAGTTAGAAAAGTAAGGCTTGGGGCGCCTGGGTGGCTCAGTCGGTTGAGCGTCCGACTTCGGCTCAGGTCACGATCTCACGGTCCATGAGTTCGAGCCCCGAGTCGGGCTCTGGGCTGATGGCTCAGAGCCTGGAGCCTGCTTCCGATTCTGTGTCTCCCTCTCTCTCTGACCCTCCCCCGTTCATGCTCTGTCTCTGTCTCAAAAATAAATAAACGTTTAAAAAAAAAAAAAAGAAAAGTAAGGCTTGATGAAGACTAGTGACTCTAAGTCTCACAGCTGGTAGAAGGTGGAGTGAGCAACCAAACTCAGGCCGGTAGGACTTCCAAGCATAAAGTCACATCCATGACAGTGTCTCATGTCACCACAGTCGGTCACTGACATCTCAATCCTCTCCTCGGCCAAAAGGGCTAAATGACCTTTCTCTCTGAGTGTCTGAGTGTCCTATTTGGAGTCCAGTTTTTGACTCTGAGGCCTGAGTTTTACAACTATCCCCATGCGTTCCCCCAAACCAAACGTGGTAGATAGGGGAGAGCTGGCTACATCCGACTGCACTTTTAAGAATCTATTCATCATAAAAATCAAACTTGCTGAATTTAGCTCTGTACTTTCATTAAAAAATAAAACCATCCGGCTGTTTTGATTTGCTAGGGTGCTTTACCGTGAACAGACCTCTATTTAGGAAAACTTGGCATCTAAAAGCCCATAGTGACAAAATCGATATACTAAGGGTGAGTATTCACACGTTGTAAAAGGATTCGTTTCAATGTTCGTTTCAACTGCTCTTTCCTAAATCGGTTTCTTTTTCTCTTACTAAGTATTTGGCAGAGTCACTGGGGTGGGGAGAGGGAGGCAGAAAAAGTTCACATGGTACAGAAAGAGCAACCCGGAAAGTCTCTAAATGAGGCACTGGAAACACAGGATCACGTTTACCCAAAGAAATGATTATCTACAACTTGTCAGGAACACGACAGTTGCACAAAGTACACGTGAAGCTTCTTGATGTTTAATCGAAGGTTACAACTAAGACTCAAAGGGCTGGATTTGTGCCTAGTAAGTGAAAAACGGCACGAGATGTGAGTCAGTCGACATCCCTCTCGTGCTGAATGCTACCTTCTGAGTCCCAGTCTGGCTCTCCTGGTCCAGAGATCTGTTTCACAGGAACCTGAAAACCTGCCAAATCCATCACCGGTGATGAGCAGGTGAGCTGAGGAGCCCCTGATTTATGTCAAAGCATCCTAGGGGCAGAGCTGCCTTGCAAAGGACTGTCAGAACTGATCAATGAATAAACGAAGTCACTGACCAGGGGGACAGCTCACTCTCTTCGTTTTTAGGGATTTTGTAATGAGAGAAATCACTAAGATTCATTTCGGGGCACGATGATATTAGCATACCCCCCCCCTTTTTTTTTTTAATACTTTTCTTTGGGCTAGGGAGGAGAGAAAAGGGAAGGATGGAAGTCAAGGGATTTTTACCAAGGGAAAATCTATTCACCCAACTGGGGGGGGGGGTGAGTTTGAGATGCTGCTCAGGGACTTTTTGAAGTTTGAGGCCCTGATCTGCATGGGAAAAGACCAGACGTGTTGCACAGATACTCATTTGTCAACTTCCTCTGTGACTGGGCTCAAAATGGCTGTGTAAATAACTCAGCCGGGGAGGATGGCAGAGCAAAGCTCTGGCAGTTATTGTGCTATGAAATATGCATTAATTGCATTAAACATTCAGTCTGAAACTCAGCAGTGAGGCCCCTTTTGTCAGTTTTTATGGTGCACAGACAGAGACACCAGGATGCGGATGGCAATGGCCTTCTGTGTAGACCCCGATGCTGCAACAGCCCAAGCTTCTCCTCAGATGCTCCAGGAGAGGCGGGTGGCGCCCCGCTCAGCAGCAGGGTGCACACGAGGCCAGGGTCACCCGCTCTCACTCCCCAGGAGCCCCCCACCTCTGCTCTGCTCCCTAGACGCCACCCGCCATGTCTTGAATTCCAGCCAGTGAGTCATCTCCTACAAGTCCGCCAGTGACAGAAGGGTTGGATGTGGAGATGGAGGGCTCCGTGGCGTCTGTCCCCATGAGGGGTAAAGCGACTTCCCTCAAACAAGGGAAGGCAGTTCTCGTTTGCAGTTGATTACGACATTTGAAAATTCGAGGTGTGCTTTATCAGGGGGAGACATCATGTCAGGGCAAAAGAGCCAAAAGTGTAACAGATGCTTTTGAAGAGAGATATTGGAGAGAGAGAGAGAGAGATTTAATGTGTGCCAGAGGAGTCAAGCCTTAGGACGTAAAGTGCCTTTGGTCTTACTACTTGCACAAAATGAAGCACAAGAATCTCACTGGGGCATTCAAGGCCCTCTTCAGTTAGGCCCAACGGAACCTCCCTGACCTTGCTGTCTACGGTCTCCCTACGCTGAAGCCACTCTCTAACCAAAGTGGATGACGTGTTTCTTGACTTTGCTTTTCTATCTTCCTGCCTTTGATTACACGATTCTGCCAAGCAACCAGTCAATCACGGTTCGCGGAGGACTGATAGGATTTTAACACCGAAAGGCCCAAGTCCCCGGAAACCCTTCAGTGCTAAGCACACCAGGTCAGTTGGTTCCCCCTGCTGTTCCCTCTGCCTGCAATCAGTGGCCTTCCACTCTGCATTTTCGCTCAGATAAATCCTTTAAAGTCATGTCAAATACCATCTCCTCCATAACCCATTCCATACTTTTCCACATTGACTTCTCTCCTGCCACAGACCTCTAACAAACCCACCTCATTAACGCCTGTCGCTCTGTCAGAGCATTCAGTCCCCAACGTTTACAGAGAACCTCGTCCTCTTCCGCCCGCCCACTCGCCACGTCCTCTTCAGGCGCTTGCCCACAAGGAGCGCCCGGTCTGTGGAGGCCACAGAGAGGTCAGCACTCGTAACACGGTGAAATAAACCTTTAACAAGTGGATGTGCAAATTTCATGGTCTAAGGATGAAAGAGTCGTCAAGACTGCCAAAGATCAGAGATTCAGGACTAGGGAAATTGCTAAAAAGAGATACAAAGTTCTGAAAATTCTGCAGACTCCCTTCCAGAACAGTTAATTCCTGGGAGATCTAAGGTCTTTGTTAATTTTTTCCCTTCACCAGAATTCTTGGTGCAGTGAGTGGGGATTCTTTTGCATTTATAAATCTAATCTTTATGGGGGGGGGGATAGAATCTCCTAATTCTATATTTAAAGAAAAAATAACATGTTTTTAAAAAAAATTTTTTTTAAGTGTTTATTTTTGAGAGAGAGAGAGACAGAGAGACAGACAGCGAGCAGGGTAGGAGCAGAGAAAGAGGGAGACACAGAATCCAAAGCAGGCTCCACGCCCTGTGCACAGAGCCTGACATGGGGCTGGAACTCATGAACGATGAAATCATGAGCCGAAGTCAGACGCTTAACCAACTGAGCCACCCGGGAACTCAACATATTTTTTTTAAGTGCAATAAAATCAATGGTCATTTTGTTACACACACACACACACACACACACACACACAAGTGTGTGTGTGTGTATGTGTGTATTTGTGTTTCTCCTATGTCATCATCCAAGGATAACCACCATTCACGTTTTGACATAGAATCTTCTAGACTTTGTATAGAAGTGAAGATAGACATTTTAAAGCAGAATGAGATTTTACTACACATACTGTTTTCCACCCCAGTTTTAACAACAAAATACCTCTCCACATATTTGTGTATGTGCATGTGTGTGAATGTATACACACATCGGCCACATCATTGCTACTAGTCATATATATTGTATTGGGTAGATGTGCCTTCATTTATTTAAACAATCCTGTAGTAGGATCTGGTAAAATCATTTTTTATTTTTACCATTATAAATAATACTGTAATAAACCTCCTTAAAAATGCACATTTTCATAATTATCCAATATGATCAGACAGATAAAACCCTCCCAGTGGAATTACTGGGGCAAAGGATGGACATAATTTAAGGCATTTGACGCATATTGCCGTTTACGCATCTAACTTACATTTCGTAAAAATCTGTTTTTCTGTACATTTTTGCCAGCCAACATATATTTTGTCGAGCTACAATAGCTAGAGATCCCAAAGAGCATTTTTTCTAAGCAAATGCCAACTTCCGTGATCGCCACCACACAAAATAAAGGAGAAATAAATCCAGGGGTGGCGTAAGTGAAGGAAAACCCCAAACAAGCCTACTCGCAAGGCAAAGTAGTTAAGCTGTCTTCTTAAGCTCACTCTATCAGAGTTATTGCCACTTATTCATAAGGGCATCCAGCAACAGCTGTTCACCTGGCCAAGCAACCTCTCCAAAGAAAGATCCCCATATGTTGCAGGGAGATGCACGTGAGCTGGTTCTTAGAGAGAAAATGACCTTGTTTCCTGGTTCTGTGTGATGATGCTTCAATCAGAGAGAAGGGGCGGGGGGGGGGGGGGAAGAGCCCAAATTCAAGGCTTGTGGAGGAGAAACTTGTCATCTTCATTATTTTATTGGGTTCAAAGGGCTCACCCGTGCTTTGTTTCATCTGGAGGTGGACAAACAAAGCAGGTCTGTTAGTGACACTTTTATCACTGGGCTTGCCCAGAGCCCACAGGCAGCAAGTGGCAGAACCAGGCCTGGAACCCAGGGCTTCTCGAACAATCTTGTCACTGTAAATCTCAAAAAAAAAAAAAAAAAAAAAAAGTTCCGTGAAGTTACAACAGAGAGAAAACAGGAGTAGAATTCTGACATTTTTGCAAATATTTACATACATAATCACAATATGTTTGGGCTACTTTTAATTTCTTTTTTAAATGTCAAAGGTGGTGCGGGACCTCTGCTGCAAGGGACAGGTGGGTATGGAAGTTGTACAATTGTAGTTGTCTAAGGACTATGGGGAAAGGATTGGTCATGTGCTTAGCCCCACCTTGTGTTGCTAGATAGGTCTCAGTTTGGTCATCTGAAAAATGGGGATCTACCTCCCAGGGTTTCTGTGAACATGAAAATGCTTCAGAGCCAGTAAGTACCCAATGACACTCTATCCTGTGCTTTTTATTCTTTGAAGCAATTTCATCCCCTCTCCTGGACTCTAAGCTCTTTAAGAGCAGGAATAACGTCTTGTGGTTCCACTGCTGAGACCAGGGTCCTGGATGACATTCCTCCTACACACCCACAGGCGTATGCAGACTACATGCTATCTTCTGAAATTGTACTGGAACATTATTTTATGTTATACACAATGTTTAATCGATATTAAGTAACATTTCATAGTAATATATAGAAGTTTTTAAATACATGGGTTCATAATATGGATATTTTTTCTTTAACTTTTTTTTCCCATTTAACACTACAACTTGGACATCTTTTTATGTAGGTGCATGTAAATCTTCCTTATTCTTTGTATTGGCTACATAATATTTCATCGAAATATTGGACTAAAATATCCAATGGACTAAAATATCATAAGTTTATTTTAACTTTTTTTTGGTAGATTGTTGGATATTTCAAATTTGTCACTTTCACAAATAATATTGTCATGAAACATTCCATATATATGCCATTGTCTACATACGTAAGTGCTTCTTGGAGTCAAACCTGGAAGTCAAAATTGAGGGTCGGAATTCTTGTATCTTTCACATTTTCATCAATATTGTCAAACTGACCTTCAAAAGGCTGCTCTGAAATATTCTCCTATGCATCTGAATATTCCTGTTTCCCTGGGTTTATAGACTAGCCCTGGGTTTTATCATCTTTGACAATTGGGAGAAAAATTCTATCTGTTGTCATTTTAATTTCTTTTTTAAATAGTGAAGCTGAACATTTTACTGGCAATTTGTACACTCTTTTGTGTTAATTGTCTGCTCCTGCTTGTCAATTTTTCTATTGATTTTTTTCCTTATTGATTTATTTGAATGCCTTGTGTACTAAGGATATTAACTCTTTTATCTACAAGTTTTAGGTACTTTTGTTATATTTTTAAATTATTTTTAATTTTGACATAGAGATTGTCTCTTTACTCTTTCTGGCTTGGTATTATGCTGTAATTGTCTGATTTTGTCCAGACCTAATTAATGCATTCTCCATTCGTAAAATGATAGGACTTGAACAAGGTAGTTTTTAAAGATGTTCTATAGAGTCAGGATTTTACATGATCTAGAACTGCATTGATTCAGACAAATATATGGCAGCCAGTGTAACTTTCAGAAAACACTGTATTGAAAAGATATATCTTAATAAAACATTTAGTCCTTCCATATGTAAAATGTAACCATAATGTTGGCCAGAAAATATTGCACACGAGGGGCCTTCAATGGACATTTTTAATTTAAAAAATAAAATTAATTCATAAAATTCAACATATTTGATGAACTCCAAACTAACGATTTAATCATGACTTGCTTTCCGCAGCTCCACGAGGGGGTTTCTCAGGAGTCCACATTTTATGCTGAGCGGCTGTGTCCACTAAAGCTCCAAATGATTGGACCCGAATGGACACCTGACCCAAAAGCAGCCAACCCATTGGCTGGACAGCAACCAATGACCAATGTGACTTATTTATTTATTTTTAATTTATTTTTGAGAGAGAGACACCCCCTCCCCTGGCAGAAGTCGGGGAGGACGGGGGGGGGGGGGGGCGGGGAGGGGGCAGAGGATCTGAAACAGGTTCTGTGGGACAGCCCCAGAGCCCAATGTGGGGCTTGAACTCACTAACCCACTAGCTATGAGACAATGACCTCAGCCAAAGGCAGACCCTTAACCAACTGAGCCACCCAGGTGTTCTTATGTGATTTATTTTTTAAAAAAAGAATAAAGAGAAACA